ATAGATAGATAGATAGATAGATAGATAGATAGATAGATAGATAGATAGATATATTTATACTTCTCTTTTGCAGAGCGGAGATCATGACACGCTGCAGGAGGGAGTTCTCCCAGTAACTGTGGGCTGCACACTGGTGCAGCAGGTGCTAAATAATTTAAAATAATTTATTTTACATTAAAAAAATCCATGCCGATCTTGTGGCTCATCCATCAATCAGCCAGTTGTGTGTCATGTCCAATCTTATGTTGACAAACTGCGGAAGAGCGAGTCCATGAAAGTCTAACCACAAAGTAGTAAGGGACTACTGTATATAGTATATCTTATTTTGTATATTGGGCGTTTTTGAGACGTTTCTTTGCTTTAGTCTTTAATTCTTACCAAGACTTTGACAAAAAGCAGTTTGAAGCACGTACTAGTTTATTATCTGTAATCTAAAAACAAAATGAAACTTCTTCTGGTTGGTTAAAATCCTGTGATATCCAACTGCAGATAACAGGAAAAAAACACTGCTGTTACTCTACATTCATTTACTAATCAATTATTTTAGTGATTATTCATTTGCAAGAGCTCAGGCAGTTTAACAAGGTTAAGTCAAGTCCTCTGGACAGATTCTTCTTTGTTGAAACTTCTCATGTTTTATCAAAAAGTCTTTTTTCAGTCTGAGGCGCTGCAGCAGCGATACAAGACGAAACGTTTCAACAAAGAAGGCTCCGTCCAGAGGACCTGACTTAGCCTTGTTAGATTTATCCAGCTGGATTATTGAGCAGCATCAGGGCAGCTCAGGCAGTTAAGTAACTCATTACTCAGCAGACTGCTGCAAACACCCTGGCTCTGGAGCTAGAATGAAGGCGCTCTGTGGGTATTTTTCATTGAAGGGAGGTATTAAACTGTTTCAGGAGAGCAGCAGGGGATGCAGAAGGCAGCAGAACTGGAGGCTATCCTAAAAGTACGATGAGCTCACTCTGTCTGCTGCCGGTCGATGGAGTAATAGAGCTCCTGCATCTGCTCCTCTGTGAGGACACCATCAGTGAAGTAGGACTGGAACTCCTCCAAGGAGAGCTTCCCGTCATCTGAAAGGAGACCAACCAGAGAAAGTTACACCTCACAGAAACCGCAAATGTTTCATGGCCCTTACAGGTCACTGTGTTTTCTTCTAAATAATGAAAAAGGGCAAATAGCATCATAAACTAATTGAATTGGAGTGATGACTTAGAGGTTCTGATGCTAGCGAAAACTGTTTTATTTCAATGAGCTTCTCTAATAAGCAAACTAACTTTTTAATGAGCTCTCACCAGCTTCCAGCTGCTATACTTTCTGAGACACATTTCTCTGCTACTCATATCATGTTAGTGAAATCCATTCTGACTTGTTAAGAAGTCCCAAGTGATGGATGTACCAGGACACAATTAAGTCAGAGAGTTAGGCAGAAGCCGAGTTTCCTGAGGATAGAGAAACGTAGTTTCCCTCCCAAACTTCCCAGTCAAACCTAGTTCCACATGATGTAGGAGTAAACACAATCTGGTGCGCCTCTGACTCATCATCTGATTCCATCAGAGCTGCGTTGGTTTGGATTCACACTCGATTACACGCAAAACACAACGCCGCTCAGATGGCATGTTGCACAAGACTTCACGGTTTCTTGGATGCAGTGGGAAAATACCGCTTCAGGCGAAACTCAGAACTGGTCTCACACGCTAAAGGAGACTAGACTCTGCTATTCTTTAAATGCAGAACTAAAAGAATATCTAATTAAAGAAATAATTAAAGAACCACTGAAGATTACTTTGCTTCTCTTGTACTTATCCTTTTAGCCTCATCACAAAGGCAAATTACAGTGACTGTATTACATTTTTAATGACCTACAGTTAACTAGAGCATTAAAAAAAACTTATTTTCAAAATGCATAGTTAGAAAGAAACTGCACAACAATCTTTTTAATTACCGTACTTTTCGCCGTATTAGTTGCACCTTTTTGCATAAATTTGCATGCCCTGCGACTTATACGACAAAGTTACTTATTTATGTTTTTCCCCATATTTATAAACCAATTTTTAGCTGAGATCTGACGATTTCATTCATTCTGACATGGAAAATATTGAACACTACCATTTTCAGCAGTTAGAGGGCCCTTGAGTAATATGGCAAGCCAAGTGTTCCATTAATAGGTAAAAGTGGATATTAATGAGACACTTGGCTTGCCATACATGGCCACCTTCGTCTCGCTCCGGAACTCCTGGAGCAAATGTCAAATCAGCTGCATTTCGCCTGGGCGGTGCAGCAAAATGCAGCTGATTTGACCATTAAAGTGCATTTATTAAGGAAAAGTTCAACTGAGACACACCTTTGCTATAATTTCGAGCAAACAAATAATTGTTTTTAAGTGTTAATCTTGTTAAATTCGTGTTAAAGTCCTTTTGTGCAGACTCCCATGGTGAAGCAACTTATTTATGTTTTTTTTTTTTTTCATTTTATTAGACATATTTGGACTGATGCAACCTATACGGCAGTGCAACGTGTATGGCAGAAATTACGGTAGTTTGTCAACAAACGTTTTAACCTACAGTTAGCTGTTGATTGAGCAAAATAGCAAAAAATTCACATTTAAAAACTTGAAATCTGTCTCAAGAATGCCTAAAAGTGTAAAAAATAAAAGAGTGATAATGTGAAAATTATTTATTTGCCTTCATATATAAATGCAGATTAGACCTGCAAAACATTTCTCAAGTTTTAGCAAAACTTCCACTGGTTGTACTGGCAGTCAAATGGAAAAGCTGTTCATTGTGCAGACTTTGCGTAGGTAATAAGCACGTTAATAAATCTACGCTTTAATCCAACCTTTCCCACTCCTCCCTCCATTAATATGATTAGTGAAATTGGAACGGAGCTGGTCAGTGTCATCTGGCTTCACCTGGCAGACAGAGAAATCTCATTAAAAAAAATGCTTGCAGCAAATCCCGAGTCTGTGATGACTAAACAACACCTCTTTCGGGAAATCTAAACTGTTAATGTCAACAGATTACCGTTTCTCACAGCACCTTGAGTTACGCTGAGGCTCAGACTGTGTCCTAAATGAGAACTCTCCCTGTGGGAAACCTCAAAGCTGTGATCGAGGCAGGACTAATAACTTATGAACCGCAGCAGCAGAACTGAGGAGAATATGAGAAGGAGAAACCAACAGCATCTCTCCTGCAGTAACATGTTCATCTACGTTTTAGACTTTTGTTGCTGTTTTGTTTTTAATGATGAAAAATGAAAACCCCTCTTTTCACATCCTGCTCCAACAAAGCACATGAGTCAGAAATTTCAATGTAAAATTAGTATGCATCTCTTTTATCTGAATAAGTACACATTTTAAATGGCTTAAAATTAAATAAAGCCTGAAATTTACAGTATTTACTTTAAAAGTGGTAAAAATAAAATTTCAAGTTTGGGCACCAAGTACAGACAAAACTCTATTAAAACAATTTGCAGATGTGTTATAAGTTACAGTATTTTGCTGTGATTGTAATAACATTGACGCTCATTTAAACAGTAAATCTTTACATTCAGCTTCATCCGCAATGAAACTGTATTTTGCATGTTGACTGTATAGAGCAGGGTCTGCAACCTGCACCTCGTAGTTTCCACTAATCTTTAAAGATAGACCAAAACTAATAGAAAAGGCCAGTTTAAGCAATTTTTAAGTCACTACAAAAAAGGATACTGCTAGTATGAGTGAAACATGCATCTTTTATTATTAGGGATGAACAATATTTAATTTTTGGCTGATATCCCATATGAGAATAGATAGATAGATAGATAGATAGATAGATAGATAGATAGATAGATAGATGAGAGAGAGAGAGATGTATATGTATGTATATAGATGTGTATGTATGTATATATGGGCCGATACTGATACCTTACCAATAATATTGTGCATCCCTTCTTATTATTAAATCTCTGGAGCTTTATAGAGTCCTTTAACTTCAAAGCCCTGCTTCTGACTTGTCTGCATGTTGCAGGCTTGTTATTGTTTCTGCATGTCAAATCAGAGCTGCGCTGTCAAATGAGATAATCATATCACACTTTTCATCTTGTTACTTCTTTGTGTAGAGCTTTGAGAAAAAAGCGAAAGGAACATTAAATGAACCCTTGGAGTGTACATTACACAACAATGCACTTATAAAGTTCATTTTGGCTTTAAAAACCTTATTACAGCAGCTTAGAGGGGTTCATTGGTTTGTTAGCCATTACATAGTCATTACAATATAAATGCATTGTACTCCAGGCGTGTTATGGCAGCGTACACGGCACAGCCGCTGCTAAGGAGGCAGTTTCTTGGATGCAAAACTCTGCTGCAAACTGAAGATAACAAGCACAGACACGCAGTGCAGTTGTGCTTTTTTTTTTCCTTTATTCTGGTAATTTTTTTTAAAAAAGCTTGTTTGAGCTGAAGGAAGGCTTTGTAGACATGCAACACTCTGGACACAGATTCAATCAATTGCTTCACTTCACAAATGGTTCTGTTGTGCAGCTCTGCACTATCCTGCTAGTTTATAAAGTTTGGGAGAGAAAAGAACTGAAACCCATACAACCTCTTTTTATCTGATATAGATTTTGAACAAAAGCCCCAACAGAGATAAAAGGTTTATTTTTTTTTCTTTTGATTTTCCCATTTATAATTCACAAACTGGGTTCTCCAGCTCAGTATCTGCCAACGAGGCGCTCCAGACAACCCCTGCTCATTGCAGCACATTAATCTCACTCTTATGCAACACATTCAGCAGCCTCCGGAGGAACGCGCTCACAGATTGTAGATGCTCCACAAGCATTAATCACTCGCCCTTTTTTTTTTTGCGTTTTACATCCCATTCCACGTGGGTGCAGAGCATGAATAAGAAATCGAGCAGAAAACGTGGTGTTTTTCACGCAGAGCTGAGTTTGCCCTGTTGTCCTCGGGGACGTTAAGAAGGGAGAGATTTCTTGAAACAGATTCAGAAAAAGAATGGCATCTTAATTTAAGTCTTAGATGGATTTCAAGCATTTAAGATTAAAAATGCACCAGAGACCTAAGATTGCAAAGCACAAAGCAATAATTATGGGGTGTTTGTGTGCACGCTGTCCCTGAAAAGTGTTTCTGTATGTCTTCACCTGCCTCCTATCAATTGCCTGAGCAGTGCATTGCTCTTGGCAGTGCACCAGGATGAGCAATGCCTGCAGGGTGAGCTGTAGAGGTCCATCCTGTCAAATCCTGACACATCACAATACCAAAAAAAAAAAAAAAGAAACCATGCAACTGCACCTGACCTTGTATATTTATGTGCCTTGACTCTCACAAAGAATCCAGAAAAGAATAGAAAAGGTTCCTTTGAGATCACAGCACTCCCTTCTGAGTCATTTTTATTTTCTTGAAACAATTTGAGGAGTACTTTTCTGTCGTGTATTTGGCATACTCACCATTTTTGTCTGCCCGGCGGAAAATCTGCAACAAGCACAGAAAGAAAAGGAAAAATCAGGTTTAAGTGTTTCGATCTGCCATAAAATAAGTTTGAAGAAATTAAGAGTGTGCAGTAAATGGAGAATTCAGCCTGTAAACTGGGGGCACATGTAGATTTTTTTATATCATTCAGAAAGTTGTGTAATTAGTTAACATAGATGTTTCTCTTTCTTTATGCACAGAGAGGGATTAAAGAGCAGCTGTAAAATCCCCATCTCTGTCATATTTGAGACACTTATGGAAATGAAAATTTGACTTTTATGCTTCCCTGAGAGAAGATTTAAATTTAAGATTTTCTGTTTTCTTGTCTAACTGGGGCACTTCATCCTGGATTAAGATATTTTCTAACATATGTGATTAACCCTCACAAGCAGGAAGTGACATACCTTTATTAATCCAGGCAGTGAACATGACCAGAAAGCGATCGCTTAAATCTTTAGATTTCAAATCTAATAATGTGTGTGAGTTTAAAGAGGATGTTTAGTTGTAGCTTGTTCTTGCTGCTCGATCACTGGATGTGGGCCGACAGACCAGTGGTTGGATCCTTGATGGTATCATCAAAGTTTCAGAAAGTTGCTCCTCTTCAAACACATCAGTCTGAAGGCTCAACTTCGTTCTGTTTGCATCCAGCTTTTAAACTCCTCCCTGCTTCAAACTTCAAATACTGTATACTAAATATACAAAGTACTTCAAAACTATGTGCACACTAGGAAAAAAAAAAATATATATATATATATAT